TTTTATTTTATTTTCTTTTCTTTTCTTTTCTTGAAGTTAAAATTGGCCGTGTCTCCAGTTCTGAGTTGTATCATTGTGGTAGTTGGGAATATTTTAGTATGTTATTTCTTAAGAAAAATTTATTGCACGTCGGTGTTTAGCAATGTACTTTTCATTGCAAAAGCTCAATTCTTTGTTGTTTTAGCTACGATTGTAATCTATTTGAGCCAACACATATTTCCTGTACCTATAATCTTTATCAAGTGCAAAACCTTCTGGGTTTAACTCTATTCCAAACAGTCTGCTGTCTGCGAGTGGAATTGACTGGTGGGTGTTTTTGGTAGTGCTTGGTTTGTTGTCAAGTGTAAAGTTCGAAACTTTCTTGAGTTTTTAATGGCTTTATCTACATGCATCTAGCATGATTTTCTTGTGTTCTTAGCATTTGCAGCCTAATTTTTTACGGGATTCAAGATTTTTGTATCAATCTTGGTCAGAAAATCTGGGTTTGCCTTATTGTTTTGTGCTGTGCTCTTTTTCCGCTGAATTTTGATCTATATATAAATTATGGTGCGTTCTCTCTGGGATTCAATTGGCTGCTTGTAATTTAATTTATTGGATGTTAAAAGAAGTGTTATTGGGGGTTGGAGAAGTGGATATAGGAATTTATATTGCAATGGAGCTTATCATATGATATGGAAAGTAATGGGAGGGAGAAAATGTCGAAAAATTCAGAAGATAGGGCGAGTTTAGAAAAAACTCATGGATATGAGGAATCAATTCATAAATGTCATCCTCCACAAGAGGGTCTGAATAATGGATCGTCAAATGGAGCAAAAAATGAGGAAAGTTCAATGGAAGTGACTGGTGTGACGATGGATGAACCAAATGATAGGTCTTCAGATGAGCAGTCCGAAATGTATTCTACACCTGATGCAAACTACCAGAGGAGGAACATTTTGCAGTCTTCATCTGTTATAGAGCGTTCTCGGTGGAAAGATCCAAGTGTTAGTCCATCACCTCAGGCAAAAAGAGGTTTGCGCTTATACTTTTCTAACTTGTCAATTTTTGATATGAATGTGAAATTTGCAAGGCAAAATTAATTTATGTAAATCTTGAATCATGTCACATTCAGTCTTGATGGTTGATATAGAATTATATAATCAATATTCTTCACTTCGAATAATTTTCACATAACATGAGCTTCTGTCTGAAGTTATTTTTTAGACCTCTATTTCAACTTGGAGCAAGTTTAGACATTGATCTAGTGAATTCTCTTGGTTCCACTTAGGTCTCATGGCATTTTGTAGGAGGTGTAGAATCATATATATGAAGACTGGAAGTTCTGTCTTATCATTTTATAGTGAGAAATGTTTGACTGATCCTGGGTTCTTTAAGTTTAGAAAGTGATATGATTGAGTTCTCATATTTTAAGTTTGAAGTACTTGCAAGCCTTTTGAAAGTCGAAGAAGCAAATAGTTACGAATCCACCAATTGTTTCTCTCAAATTTGAGAAGCTCTGCCTATCATTCTATAAATCCTTTCATTAATTTACATGTCCTTAGTTCAACTTGTTTATTCTAACTAATTAAAAAAACGAATGACATGAATAAGAAGAGGAGTTTCTTTTTGTTTCTATGAGAAGTCCGGAAAACAGCCCGCCCTTAATTGCAAAACCGAAAGTTCCGAAACTGTTCTGAGAAATGTTGTAGTCTTAAGGTTTAATTATTTGAATTATGGGCTCCTATTTCTCGCAATGTTTCATCTCTCATGCTTTATATTCCCTGTGAGACACATTCCATACAAACTTTCAGTGATCTTTCACCATAGTCTTTTCTTTAGCTTCTAATTCTCTTGGGAAGAAAGGATGCAGGAGCCCTCTTTTCAGTCTTAGGGGGAAGACGTTCCCAACTTATTTCTGTTTATTGATATGACCCTTGAATCACCTGAGTGAACCTGAAATGTGACATTGATGATGAATCCCATCTAAATGCCAGATGCACTATCAAGACTGAACCTGATCTGTACATGATTTAACATTTATCCTATTAGAAAGGTTGTACTAGTTTACTGTTTTATGCCAAATGTATTATGTTGCTTGCTTGGTATGTTCTTGAACTACTCAGCAATTTGATTATGCGTTTCTTTTGGTAATCACATCTGAATCTGAGTAATCAAACTAATTGGATGAAGACACTGTCTCGAAAGTTTGAGGTGGATGAGAGTATTTGTTTTGTTTTTTTATGCTTAGAGATTTGAATGTTTCTTATTAAATCATTTTTTCTATTTAAGGTTTGGACCATTGCATCACTGCACCTGTGCGCACTCGCAGAAATCTCTTCTTCGAAAATCAGGATGGCGTGTTTTCAAGGTCTATGACTGAGAAAAGGGGTAGTGCAAGGATTGACCTAAAATTTGATAGACTCTCTGAATGCGAGAAGGTGAATTTCACAGCTAACTACAGCTTATAACTGGCTTAAAATTCCTTCACCACCACACTTTTTAAGTTTGAGTACTTCGTGTCTGCATAAGGCAGATATAATTTACACAGACCAGTGTACGTATGTTTCTTAGTTGGATATCATGTGCTGCTTAGTTTTGCTCGATGTCCTTTTGCTTTGTAAATGACTCGTGTAGCATGTCTGTTGCATTAGAGGAGAAAGGACAAACACTGCAGACTTGTTTAATCTAGTGTTACATAATTTAATTTTTTGTGATGAGGGGAGAAATCATTGCGTCCTATACTTTAACTCATATCATCTCACCCTGACTAAATTTTGGAGGCCACTTTCTGGATAAATGCTTGCTTTGCAGACTGAATGCATATATCCTTTCGAGTGAGTACTGCCATTGTTTCTGTGATTTCCCTTTCCTTGTTTTTATGTGTACTTGCACGTTTTTGTGTCATTCTGATCAGAAAAAGCTCATTGTGGACTTGCTGAAGATCCAAAATGATGGAACAGTGGAGGTCGACTTCTCTAAGAGTGCACCTGTTGCTTCTGAATTCTTAGAGCTTCATTCAGTTGAAGGAGTTCCTCT